CATCACATGCACACATCTTAGTTTGGTAATTTACCAGTGTCTTAATTTGGGCATGCCCCAGGCTTCTAATTTGGTCTGTCCGCCAAAACTGGGAATCCCAGGGGTCTGCAGCTGGTCCCTGTGACCTAGCTCCAATGTGGCAAGCCTATCTTATGTTTCGGATGCTGTTTGGATGTTTTTAATTTCCCAGGGTGTGTATGCCCACTTGTCTGTTAGCCTCAGGCACAGTGTCTGCTTTGAAGACTGTGAAACTTTGTCACAAACAGGCTTTTAGAAACAAGCTACCCCTTGCCATTCTCCTGGACCATTTTTCTAATACAATATCTACTTTTACCTACAAACCAATTCCTAAAAGTAAATTTCTGAATATAATTTTCTAGCCATCACAGACCACCAGGAATATATCTATTGCCAAAGTCCTATAAATTGTTGTTTAAAGCTGCTGGTGTAATGCATTTTGCTTGTTAGAAATATTTCTTAAACTTCTGTGTGTGCATTTTGTTAATTAAATTTTCCTTTTCCAGCCGATTTATTTTGCACATCCCAAGTGAGGAGAGAGACAATGCGATCAGAGTGTGCTTTCAGATTGAACTTGCCCATTGGTTTTACTTGGATTTCTACATGCAGAACACACCAGGATTACCTCAGTGTGGGATAAGAGATTTTGCTAAAGCTGATATCCTTTGTATTTGTTTGTCATTTTAGTGTTTGTGTATAAAATGTGCCCTGAAGTATAGCTATGAGATTTATTCTTAAAATCGCTGTCAGTACAACATAGTGAAGAAAAAAATAGGTTCTGTTAAAATTCCTACTGTTTGTTCCTGTCAAAGTACTGCAGTGTTCAGCAACGGTCAAGGAAAGCTTAAGAGTGCTCTCCGTGGCATATTTCTTTCCTAACATGATGGATTTCATGGAGAAGCTGAAATGCACATTGACACTGCTAGAAGCAATGTAAACTCTGGCTGTGCCTATTTGGAGATGGTGTATTCCCCATAATTGTATACCAGTCCCAACTGCAGCTTGTGTTCCTGATGAATCCATGCAGTTGGCCTCTGCTTTCTCTGCTGATCCTTTGAACTTACAGACTTTGAATGCTGTACCCTTTCTTCCTTGAAGGGGAATTTTGCAGAGTAAATTCTGTGGTAGTATCTGGTAGAGATGTTTTTCTTCTTCCCATATACTTTTACATAAGAGTGGAAGATCTGGCCCTGACTTCCATAATACTTAATGGTGGTGATTCCCAGGGTAGAAAACCTGGTGCTTGATTTTTATGGTCAGCTGCTTGTGGGTTTGAAATGCTGGTAATTGAAAATAAACTTTGTAAGCTGATCTGATTTTTATGATATTGGGGATGGGCGAGTCTTTCATGTTACCCTACTTCTGGGAATATCCTAGTGCCATAAAACAAATGTATTCCTTGAATAATTGTGGGGTAATAAGTAGGAAATGTAACTTTATGGATAGTGTGTACTCACTGTATATGATTTATATTTTCCATACAAGTCCTGGCTTAGTACTTTTTTTGTACACTGATACAGGGCTTTTTATTAGAAAGAAAAGCAGTATGATTGCGTGTTGATTTTACAGATTGTTTGGAGAGCCTTATCCATAAGAACAGTACAGCATGCTATCTAGTTGTAGGTTTTTTTGGGTCAGTTAATGAGCCAGTAAAGACTGCCAGGTGTGTTTAAGTAGATACTCAGATAGTGATTTAATCAGAATTAAAATATTCTTGAGCTCAACTGATTAAGGATGGATTCTAGGTAGTGGTTTGGCTAGCTGCTGTGGGGAGCAGATGTATCCATGTTGATCCATGATATGTGCTTTCTTTGCAAATATAGGTTTAGAACGGGATCATCTCTTTGGCGTAACTTGCTTTTAGATTGGTAAGAAATTTGCTTTTTAGCTCCAGTTGGGCTACTTCTGTTTGTTTAAAGTTTATAAAATTATACCATTTTTAATTAAACTTTTTCTAAGTAGCTTGTCTTAGAATAGTAAAGCACTTATGTGCCTCCTCAACTTGTAGGATGTAATGTAATATTGGATTGTTTGTATGACTTCAGCTTCAAATAAACCTGAGAGACATCTAGAAGAACAAAACCCTATTCCATATAGATAGTAGTAGTTGTAACAATTTATTTTGGGTAGATCTGTACGTATGTGTGAGATATGAGTTCAGGTTAAGCATTAATTTCCTTGACATGTTTCTTTACTCTTCAATCATTGCCCTTTTTTACTGCCTCAAGGTGAAGATGTGCAAAAGGTTTTAGATGAGTGGAAGGAATATAAAATGGGAGTGCCAACCTATGGTGCAATTATTCTTGATGAGACACTTGAAAATGTAAGTTTGAAGCCAATCTGTGAAGTGGTTTGTACAAGATGGGGGTAACTGTGGGGGATGTTAACTAGGCTTTAACTAACACCAGCATTTTTTGTTTTGGGGGGAAAAAAACATTTTCAGTCTGAGGATCATAGATAAAGGTGTCAGAATACAGCAGGATTTTTGTCACATTCCTATCATTATGTTTGTGTAGATTTCTCTTTTTTGCAGGAGTGTTAGGAAGTGGGAGTGTTCTTACTATCTGTGTACCAGAGGCAGCTGGTGCATGGTCCTTTTCTTTCCAAATTTTGCCAAAACGTTATATGATAAAAATAATAGAGTTGATAACTCTTTGCCTAACCTTCGCCAACCTTGTGGGTGAACTACTGAAAATGAACTTATGAGGGTCCCTCCAAAGCATTGTTTTTGAGATTAAGACAAAGCAGTGAGATTAATGGGTATCTGACTGTTGTCTTCATTTTCTGCAGGTACTGTTGGTTCAGGGATATTTAGCAAAATCTGGCTGGGGATTTCCAAAAGGGAAAGTAAATAAAGAAGAGGCTCCACATGACTGTGCTGCTCGAGAGGTGAGCTCCATGTATGATTGCTTTAATTTTCCTTACTTGTAAATTAAGGTGCACAAGTAATTTAGCAGTAGTTGTCCTTGTTCATGCTGAGTAGGATATTAGTGCAAGTTCAAAAGCAATTCCATTATGCCTTTTTACAGAAAGCTTCTGCTTTGGAATATGGCTGCTGTAAGCATTTTATTCCTTCTGCTGTCAGCTGTAGGAATCAAAAGTCTGTGCCCAGTGTAAAGTCAGGGCTTGAAATTAATGTGTTCTTGAAATTTTTTGATTGCTCTGTATCTTGATTGTTGTTAGGGTCAGCAAGTAACTTTTTCACCTTTTGGAACATCAGTTAAATCTGTCAGGTTGGCCTGGTAATTATTGATTTGGGTGTCTAGAAAGTCCCTAGCTGCTCTGGTTCTTTGGATTAGTTGTCTGGTGATGTAAAATTAATCTCTTTTCCTTGATACCAATTTGTGAAGAAGGAACTGAAATGTAAAAACTTCTTGGAATGACCAGTGGAAGAGAAATGTACGTCAAAAGTAAAATGAGGATCCAATTTGGAAAATGAATAAAAATGAGTGAATGTAAGAGTCTGTTTTTTTTGTGGTAGTGATTCAATACAAGTTTGCCCAGCTGCCTTGGGGATAGAAATTTTAGACATGTACTTCTAGAAGACTGTCGTCTTACATAAAAAGAATATATTTGTGTGGCAAATTAAGATGACAGAAGACTTTTTGGTATTTCTGCACAGTCTGGGGTTGTCACTTAAAAAGTTGGTGTTAAGGGAAAAGTACACTATTATGGTAAAATGCATGAACAGTTCCAGCTTTTTATGCTCTTCCCTATTATAGAAACAAAGGGCCGTGATCAGTGACACGTAAAATAGAAAGCTATGGTGCATAACCTGCCTGTGGAATTTACTGTTGCAGAAAGCCAGGAGCACACTGCATCTGGATGTAAAAGTGGCTTGGATAATTTTGTGTCCAATTTTTATCTTTACTTATGTAAAGACGGGGGTAATAAACTCTCACTTGGAGGTATTGGGAGATGCCAAAAGAAGGTAGTAAAAAGCATTTGATTTCCTGTCTGGGTTGAACGAGTTTCTTGGAGTTCATTGCTTTCTAAGTATACCTGTTGTGGGTTAGGGGATGGCTCCTTATTTCTAATTTTCTGAAGGTATCCTCCAATTTACACGAGCTGTTTGAGAGGACATTGGAAGCTTCAGGTAAGGAGAAAAATAAGATCTGGCTGTGTTTAATGTATTGTTTCAATCTGTAATATAATCCAGTTCCAGCACTTCACATCCAGTTTAGATATGTGTCAGTGTAGAACAGCTGTGTGCAGCCTTTTCAGGTTATGGGCCAGAATGGCTCAGTTCAGGTCAGAGGCAGGCAGGTGAGTGGGAGCTAGGACCCAGTTATTGCTGTCACCACTTTTTGTCATTGTTACTTCTTCATGGTGGCAACTACAGCTGAAGCCCCATGTTCCTTCTCACAAGCTTTAGGTTTTTGACCCCGAGGCAGAATATTACTTACAACACTTAGAAAAACACATAAGAAGAAAGTACAGTAATGCACTAGAACAAACCAGTCGAAAACATGGCTTGGAAAGTTAGATAAGGAGAGGGGAGAACAGTGGTTATAGTTATGAGATTGTGCAACTGCAGCATAGAGCTTGAGAGGATAAGATAAAAAATATGCTTTTTTTCCCCATAAAGGGGAGATTGGTGCATTTTTCTAATGCATATCTTTTCCCCAAGGAAACGGCCTGCCAAGAGGTATCAAAGATCTGGCCCACGGGGCACTCCTGGCTTGTGGAAGCCTATCATCTGGCCCCTGATGTTGATGTCTGAGTTGACCCATGTGCCTTGTTAGGCTGGCTCCACATGCAGTACCTGGGATTCATGCTGCATGTGGCATGCACTTCATCTGGTCCAGGACCTGTGCTGCACATCCACGACACATGCAGCACAGTTCTAGACCAGTCCAGGGGAACATTGTGTGCTACATGGATTTCAGACTGGCTGGGGTGGGCACCTCATGTGGCATAGGTCTCAGAATGGGCACCGCATGCACTGGATCTGAGGGATCTGTAGGCCCAGTCTGGCCCTTGGACTGGTCCCGCTTTACTCACCTGGCATACAGGCCCAGATGTTTGATACCCCTGGGCTAAGCAGTCTTTCTCTTGCATGCTTTTTGGCTTCTGACAATTTATCTGGTATAGATGATAGTATATCTTTACTTAGTCATTCTCTACTTCTGAGAAATGTGGGATGAGTAGCTGATTTTGCTCTTTCTGCCTTTATTCTTTCATTCTGTTTTACAGAATGGTTTTTCTGTATTCATGGAATACTGTTGCTTTCTTCCTTCAATGTCTCTATATTGGTGGTTCTCAACATTTTTTAGACTCCAGGGCCCCCTTGGAAAATACTGGCTCTTAGTTTACTTGTTTGTTGACTGCAGAAAAATAATTGAGCAATTATTCTGTTGCAAAGAACTCAAACCATAACTGTTACCAGATTTGCCCACTACTTTGGGGTGTGCTC